AGTGGGGGGAACTTGCAGAGGTGAGGTAAAGAAAATGTTCCCCAGCAGGGGAGAAGATTCATATGCATAGGCAGAATGTCATGGCCAAGGACAAGTAGAAAGAACTCAGGGCCCTCAAAGAAAGAGGACCTATCTCAGAGAAAATAGAAGTCATCAGAAGGGAACCTTCAAATAGCAACAGCTAAGCTAACAACCCTCCTGTGTCCAGATGTTTCCTTTCTTTCTATTCCAGTGGAAGACACACCCTTTAATCAATAGCCAGAGTCCTGGCTTCACAGGTCATCTTCTCATAGTCCTGTGTCTTCAACTTTTCCCTCCCTACTGGATTTTTACCGTCAATATCTTAATGTGTTCAGATCTTTCCTACTAAACAAGAAAAATAAGAAAAAAAATCTTCCTTAACTCTTCCTCTACTCTTAACACACTCCAATCCATTCTCCGTACAGGAGCCAGAGTAATCAATATGAAAGATCCATCTCATCATGTCGTTCCCCTTTTTAAAACCTTTCTGTTCCTTTTAGAATAAAATTTCAAATTCTCACCATGACGCATAAGCCCTGCAGAATCAGCCCCTTTGCTTCTACCACTCCCTCTCTCTTCTCTCTCTGACTCAGTGGATGCCAGTGATCATGTCGTTCCCCTTTTTAAAACCTTCCTGTTCCTTTTAGAATAAAATTTCAAATCTTCACCATGACGCATAAGCCCTGCAGAATCAGCCCCTTTGCTTCTACCACTCCCTCTCTCTTCTTTCTCTGACTCAGTGGATGCCAGTGGACTGGTCTCTTATCTGTTTCTGGAACTTGCCAAAATCTTTTTACTTTTACCCTTTCCCAACNTGCAGAGGTGAGGTAAAGGTAATATTCCCCAGCAGGGGAGAAGATTCATAAGCATAGGCAGAATGTCATGGCCAAGGACAAGTAGAAAGAACTCAGGGCCCTCAAAGAAAGAGGACCTATCTCAGAGAAAATAGAAGTCATCAGAAGGGAACCTTCAAATAGCACCAGCTAAGCTAACAACCCTCCTGTGTCCAGATGTTTCCTTTCTTTCTATTCCAGTGGAAGACACACCCTTTAATCAATAGCCAGAGTCCTGGCTTCACAGGTCATCTTCTCATAGTCCTGTGTCTTCAACTTTTCCCTCCCTACTGGATTTTTACTGTCAATATCTGAACGTGTTCAGATCTTTCCTACTAAACAAGAAAAATAAGAAAATAAGAAAAAAAAATCTTCCTTAACTCTTCCTCTACTCTTAACACACTCCAAACCATTCTCCGTCCAGGAGCCAGAGTAATCAATATGCAAGATCCATCTCACCATGTCGTTCCCCTTTTTAAAACCTTCCTGTTCCTTTTAGAATAAAATTTCAAATCTTCACCATGACGCATAAGCCCTGCAGAATCAGCCCCTTTACTTCTACCACTCCCTCTCTCTTCTTTTTCTGGCTCAGTGGATGCCAGTGGACTGGTCTTTTATCTGTTTCTGGAACTTGCCAAAATCTTCACTTTTACTCTTTCCCAACCTCTTCTCCACATTGCAGTCATGACAGTTTAAAAAAACAAGCCCATAATCTTAGCATGGCCTATGCACCATTAGATAATTTAGCCTCTACTGACCTCTCCGTTCTTTTCCCTCACCATTCTGTTCCTTTCTCTCCATGGTCTGTTTGTATCAGAATTATTTTGATTCCTCTAACATGCCAGGCTCACCTCCAGCCTCCATGCAAATGCTGTAAATTCTGCTTCGAATGCTTTTCCCCCACACTCCCGCCCCTGCAGCTCCTCCTGTCCCCCTTCACCTTAGGTAACTGCTGTTTTTCAGATTTCTGCTGAATGCTTCCATCCTCATCACTTCCATTTTCCTTCACTCCCCAAACTAGGTTGCCTCCTTGGTAAATACAGCTTCCTGTGCTTCCTCTTTGCTAGGATTTAGCAACTTCAGGATTTGTATTTAATGACTGGCTTTCCTATTACACTGTGAACCTTGTGACGACAGGGACCACATCTGCTGTCTTATTGACCATTGTATCCTCAGAATGTAGCACAGTGCCTGCCCCAGAGTAGCAATTCTAAACATTTGTTGATTAACGGATTCTTCTAATTCCCAATATGTAACATAGAGAGGCTATAGTTGAAATAGGGAGCTGTCAGTCCATAGCCCTGTATGCACACATCCCTCCAAACACGGACACAATTGCTCCCCCCCCCCAAAGTGTCTTGAAGTAACCTCTCTGGCTCTAAAGAACACGGTTTGGGAATTGTGTATTAGATTAATAAGATCATGAGAGCCTAAATTAATAAAATACCAATAGGGAGATTAAATAGCTATTTTCATGGAAGATTTGGCATGTTTTATTCACTAGTTAGAGACAAAAAATGATGGGGAGAAAAGATAGTTCCCATGTTTCTGAGTCCAGTGACAGGGTGGATGATAGGACCATCTTTCAGTATAGGAAATAGGTAAGGGACAACTTTGAAATTCATTTTGGAAATGTTGAGTATATACCACCTGTGAGATGTTGAAATGGAAATGTCCAGTGGGCACTGAGCGTTCTAGAGAGTAGCTGTGCACAGGATAAATAATTGCAGGAGTGCGTAGAGTAACCCAGGGATTTTTTTTGCAGTGAGAAGAGGACTAAGAACAGGACCACAGGGGACACCTAAATGAAAGAGCTGGGGAGAGGCAGCTCAGAGCCCAGGAGGATCGTGTGGGAAGAGAACAAGGCCATTGTTGCCATTAAAGCATTCTATTTACGTTCCCTTATGAAGGAGCTACTTTCATTTATTTTTCCTAAAACTATTTTCTAAGCCTTTCCTCTTCATTCTGGAAAAAGACCATAAACCATAGATCTTATCCTCTCTATCAATGTAGGAAGCAGCCTGAATACAGTGGAAAGATCACCAGAAGCCTCTTGTTTGTTGGGAAATCTTAGGCAAATTATAATTCTGAAATCCTTAGTTTTCTCAGTGGTTAAAAGGTGCATAACAAGATTGTTGTAAGAAATCATCAGAATCATGTATATAAAAATGATTTGCAAAATGAAAAGCAGTATATATTAGCTAACCTTTATCGGTGTTTCTAGGTGTCAGGCCCTGTTGCAAGCTTACCTGTATTATCCTTAAGCTCTGCCTCTTTTGATTCTTATCAACCCTAAGATTTGTCACTACTATTATCCCTGATTTACAAATGTGGAAACTAAAGTTCAGAGAGGTTAAATAGCCTATCCAAAGTGTTAGAATGGTGGACTATAGAGCTTGCCTTCTTAACCAGTCCATGATCTGTGAAGACACTTTTTCCAATTTTAATCGTTTGTTAATTAAAAATACAAGAGCATTATAGAATGGAGGTAAATGTAACATGAGGCTAACAGTACTTCTAGCAGACATATCAAGAGTATCAATCAGGCACTAAATATTGAGAGCTAGACCTGAGAAGTAGCAGAAAGGCTGGGTCTCACGGTATGTTGTCATCCGTCCAGGAAGCGGGACGGAGACACTGGTGCCCACGACAGTGGGGAGCATCTTCAGAGAGGACCTAGGTGAGAGGAAATCTCAGAAGTGGAAATTGAAAGCACCGAAAACGAACTTAGCCTGGGTCACAACTAGAGCCAGTCGTATTCACTGTCTTTTACGAAAACATTGGGCCCGCTGCAACCCTAGATGAGGTGGTTTCTTTTCCTCGCTGAGGAACTCCCAGGAAAACATGAAAGCCCACCTGCGATGCAGCTTCACGCGGAGGCGTCTCCCAAGGCAACCGGGGAAGGCGTGGCCTTAGGATTGATCCCGCCTCCTTTCTCTCCAACCCGAACAATGATTGGTCCGGAGGCGCGGCGGAGGCGCAGGGGGGCGGATCCAGGACCACCCTCCCGCAGGCCTGTGCCGCCATTTTGGGTTGTGCGGGTTTTCGGGACGTTCCGAGTACGGCCGCACGCTCGGCCGGTTCCTCAGAGCGCAGGCCGGTGGCCCTCGTCCGAGTGTCAGGTTGGAGCCGGGAAGCGTCCCTGGGGGTAGCGGCGGCGGGGGCAGGATGAGCGCGGAGGCGGCGGACCGGGAGGCGGCCACCTCCAGCCGGCCCTGCCCCCCGCCGCAGACCTGCTGGTTCGAGTTCCTGCTGGAGGAGTCGCTGCTGGAGAAGCATCTGCGCAAGCCCT